CTGTAATTTGACGTCTTGAGCCTTCTCTAGAAAACAGTGGGGAATGCCTCACCAAACTACAGCTCCCAGGATGCCACAGCATTGAGCCCTAGCAGTTCATGTGGAGTCAAACTGTATTCATTCTACAGTGGAGAGATGCACCCTAGAGAGCCCCATCCATTCTGACGGATTTCTACCTATTAGGATGGGGGAAAGGGTTTGGTCCTAAAAGCAGGGGTCACTGAATGTGTTGCACCCTGCCCACTGCCAGGAGATTTCCATCGATCCTTTACTCTCTTTCAGGCCAATATTTTCGACCGAGGAGCCTGCGTGGTATTTATTGGGGCTATTTTTGTGGCCTCTGTGCGTGTCTATGTTTAAACGATCGGTAATGATTAATCCAATTGTTTTCCACCAAAGTCAGAGCAGCCATCCCTTTGAAAAAGATAACCTGAAGAGATGTCCTGCTTAGGCTATTCAGTTCCATGAATTCAATATTATGTTGCTGCAAGTATAGAGATATGAGTCTACTATAGAATTAATGCAGCTCGACACCACTTTATCTGCCAGGGCTCAATGCTATGGGATCCTGGGAGTTGTAGTTTGATGAGGCACCAGCACTCTTCCGAAGAGAAGGCTCAAGACTCTGTCAAACTACAGCTCCCAAGATTCCATAGCACTGAGCCCTGTCGATTAAAGGGGTATCACAGTACATTAATTTTGCAGTGCGGATGCCCTCCTGAAAGGAGCAGCCTTTCAGGATCTCACTCTCTGTGGTTCCAGGCAGCAGCAGCAGGAGGAGGAGGAGGAGGAGGAGGAAGAGAAATGGTCACTTAAGGATTGGCCAGTGGCCGTCATAAACCCGAGTCTATTATCTGAGATCTTTCCTTTTCAAAGGGGCAGCTACAGCGGGGCAGAACAAAGGATTTGTGTGCCCTGTCTCTTGCTGAAAGTTGCAAGAGATAAAAAAAAAAAAATTGCAGTCCGCCCAAACCTGTAAGGAGGGTGGGAGTGGGAAGGAAGGAAAGAAAGAAAGGAAGGGACTTTCCAAGCTCTATAATTCTTTCTTCCCTCCTTTCAACTATTTTATTATTATTATTTGAAACACAACAAGATTAGTACACAGCAAACAAGGCCACTATACTGGCTGTTGTATTGGATCACATGTTGAACACTTCCCAAGTATCTAGGACTGTGTGATGTATCTGCAGATCCAAATAGGGTGGCCTTTTGCAGCTGACAGGTGGTAATTTTGCCAGCGAGGATTGTGTTTAAGTGCAGGCCAAGGTCTTTAGGCACTGCACCCAGTGTGCCGATCAGCACTGGGGCCACCTTTACTGGCTTGTGCCAGAGTCTTTGCAGTTAGATCTTTAAACGATCATATCATGTAAACTTTTCCAGTTGATTCTCTTCAATCCTGCTATCGCCTGGGATTGCAATATTGAATATTCATACTTTTTTTTAGGTCAGGAGTGTTGTGCTCCAAAACTCTGTCAGTCTGAATTCGGAAGTCCCAGAGTAGTTTGACGTGTTCATTTTCTGTAACTTTTTTTTCAGGCTTGTAATTCCACCAGTTCTTTGTCACAGGCAGATGGTATTTGTGGTACAAGTTCCAATTAATCTTGAGCAACAATTTTGATTGGGGGGGGGGGTGAGTTTGTTTGGGGGGGGGGCTGGGTCTGAGTAAAAGAGGGTCACAAAAGTTCCATTTGTGAACCACACTCATGTTTTTTCTTTGTCAGTTTTGCTCTCTATTTTTCCCAGGAACTTCCATGGAGAGCCTTCTTTTGCCAGTTTTCTCTTCTGCTCTGCATTATATTTTTCCTATATTCACTCTTTGTCTTTTGCACTTGAAACAGCTTTCTACTATTGGCTTCCATCAATGTTAGTTCTTAGACATTCTCTGCCAGTGCATGTTTCTCCTCCTCCTCCTCTCTTCGTCTTCTTCCTCTTCCTCTTCTTCTTCTTCTTCTTCCACAACCCAAGCAAAAAACGTATCACTGTCTTAGTTCTTAGGCCTCTTCCTGGAGTTATTTGGGAGATTGCTTCAGAAAATTACATTTAATAGAACACATCACCTTTCTTAGATATGGTTATCATGGCTGAGCTCAGGGCAACATATATGACACATGTTCTGTACCTCAAAAAGTATAGCTGATAGGGGATAACTGGTACAATTTTTGGAATCAGCAGGTCAGATATATGAAGTCAGGGCTAACTTTGGAGGCACCAAAACGTTTGCTGGTCAGGGTCAGGGAATTGGTCTCTCACTGGATGTTTCCCAATGCTGAGGAGATGTGATACGAATTCATATTAGGGTGTACCCACACCAGTGGTTCCCAACCTTTGGGACTCCAGGTGTTTTAGAATTCAACTTCCAGAAATCACAGTGAGTTTACCAGCTGTTAGGAACTGTGGGAGCTGAAGTCCAAAACACCTGGAGGCCCAAAGGTTGGGAACCACTGATCTACACTGTAGAATGAAAGCAGTTTGGCTCCACTTGAACTGCCATGGCTCAATGCTCTGGAATCATTGGAGTTGCAGTTTTATCTTTAGCCTCCTCTGTCAAAGAATGATGGTGCCCCATGAAACTACAACTCCCATGATTCCATAACACCGAGCCATGCCAGTTCAAGTGGTGTCAAACTGCATTCGTTCTACAGTGCAGATGCACCCTCAATTTGCTTCAGCCTTCAACAAACATGTGGAGCCTAATCTAGCATGGCTTCAGGAACAAGCAGTTTGGGAGGGGAATGTCCATAGATCTCTCTGCTGTATAACAGGGACTAAGAGCATGACCTTTCTACCCTACTACAGATTGCTGGACAAATTTAAGAAGAAGCTTAAACTCAGCTCCCTGGGAGGGAGGGGGGATGTTTTGGAAAAGGCCTCACTTTGGTTTCCTGCTTTCCCTTCTGTCCCAGAGTCCTGGGTTTATGTAAATCCCAATAGGTCTATTCAAGTTGGGACTGACAATAAAATTTAAGCTTGATGATGGTGATGATGATGATGATGATGTAGACCCTTGGTATTTGCTGTAGTTTGGCTCCCAGTGGACACAAAAATCCGTGAATGCACACATCCCATTATATACAATGGCATAGTAATTGGTATCTCTTATATTAAATGGAAAAATCATGGTTGGGTGAGTCAATCAATCTGCTCCTATATGCATCACCTTACCTTGATTTTGTCCAGAGGTTGTAATGAGGGGTGAGTGCCTTAGGGTGCATACTCACAAGAAAGGGCACATCACACTAACCAACAACTTGGATTGAAGGCATCTTGGAAAGTATGCACTTACTTTAAGCAAAATTGGGTCCTTTATGTGCATCAACCACATGGAATGCCAAAACCACATTAACATGCTCCAGCAATCTGCACATGTGCATTAGAGTAGGGCAAAAGCTGAAAATATAACTGAACCCTTCACTGCAAGGACATAGTGTATATTGTGGGTTTTTTCGGGCTATAGAGCCATGTTCTAGAGGCATTCTCTCCTGACATTTCGCCTGCATCTATGGCAAGCATCCCCAGAGGTAGTGAGGTTGTTGGAAGTAAAAAAAATGGGTTTATATATCTGTGGAATGGCTGGGGTGGGGCAAGGAGCTCTTCCCTGCTATTGGGGTCCTGTTTACACTGCCATGTTATGCATTTTAAGATGCATGATATCGTCAGTGTAGACTGAGGTCTGAGGATCCTGGACTTTTTTGTTTGTATGTGTCAGGAGCGACTTGAGAAACTGGGACATCCAGATGTTTTACCATCCTGTGGGAGGCTTCACCCATGTCCCTGCATGAGAAGCTAGGGGTGACAGGTCAGCAGTCCTGCCAGCACAACGGTTTTACCCATTGGGGGGGGATCCATCCTGGACTCATACTACACCAAACTGGAGCCGCTCTCTCCTTGGGGTTCCTGTACTTTATGTGTGATCATAACTTGCTTCTGCCTCTATAGAAGCATTCTAGAGATGGGATGGGGATGCAGAGTACATCTACATTGATACTATAAAGCATTTGGGGGAGGGGGTGTAACAGGCTTAAAGATAATCAATTAACTCTCCCAGGGACCCAATTAGCCCCCTGCTGTCCCACCATGCCCTTGGGGTAGTTTTCAGTCCCCCCCCCCCCCCTGATCACAGCAGTTTCAAGTCACATTATTTAGTGTCAGTGTAAATGGGTCTGCTCTTTAGGGCCCTTCCAGACAGGATCTATATCCCGGGATCTGATCCCAGGTTATCTGCTTTAAACTGGATTATACTGCCAATCTGGAAAAAAACAGAAAACCTGGGTTCAGATCCTGAGATACAGAGGATGTCTGGAAGGGGCCTTAGAGGCCTTAAAGCAGGGTAAGAAAAATCATGAGATACTCCTAAATAGATCCTGTAGGCCCCTTCTACACTGCCATAGCATCCCGATACTCAAAGCAGATTATTTGAGTCTACACTACTATATAATCCAGTTCAAAGCAGATAATCTGGATTTTATATGGCAGTGTAGAAGGGGCTGCAATGCGCACCATCACCTCTTGGTGTGACCCACATTGCATGGGGAAAACAAGTAAGAGAAGGTGATCTATGGTCTTCTATTATTTTACAGGCTGGGGAGGGAAAGGGTATTTTTCTCCCCTCAGAGAAGGAAAATAGAGTTTTACATCATTCTTTCCATCACTATAGAGACCTTAAACCAGGGTAGAAAAAAATCATGAGTTACTCCTAAATAGATCATGTAGGCCCCTTCTACACTGCCATACAATCCAGATTGTTAGAGCAAATTATTTGAATCTACACTGCCATCTAATCTAGTTCAAAAGCAGATAATCTGGATTTTATATGGCAGTGTAGAAGGGGTTGCAATGCACATCAGCACTCCTTGGTGTAAACCACATTGCATGGGAAAATCATTTTACAGGCTGTGGAGGGAAAGGGTGTTTTCTCCTCTCAGAGAAGGAAAATTGAATTACATCCTTCTTTCCATCACTATATTGAGACATTCAACTCGTTAAAAAAATCCAGACCAAACTGTATGCTGTATATTTTACTCCCATGAAAGAAAACACATTTTTTTCCAATGTTGTCTGGAAAGGGAAAAAAAACACTAGTATTATACGAAATGTTATACACAGGGTATGTTTTACATTGCAGTTTCAGAGTCACCATTGCATCCACCAGAAGTACTATTCTAAAACCGATATTCACACAATGGGACTTGGGTTCTTTTTTTTAATAATAATAATAATAATTAATTAATTATAATAATAATATGTTAGAAACATACAATGTCGCATTTAGTATATACATTCCCTTGCTCGCAAGCGGAAAAGAAAACAGAAACAGAAAGAGAGAGAAAAAAATCCCTAATCTCTTGTGTAACATGCTTTATTTCAAAAGCCTAACTTTGAGAGAGAGAGAGAGAGAGAAGAAAACACTGTGGAGATATGACTAACAACTGCTTTTATAAAATTAATTTGACATTTCCATAGATATATTTACATCCTTTCCCGCCATTTATTTGCCCCCTCCCAAACTTCTTTTCCCCCCAATGTCAACAATGCTAAACATAAAAAATAACAAGCTTATAGGAACATTAAAATGTCATACCATATCCAGTCAAAACGGTTCTTTTTTGTCCGTGTTTATATATATATATTTATATTTATTTATATTTATCATCTATGTCCTTTGCAGCTGTTGGAAATACTTGGTTCGGTTGTTGTTAATAATAATAATAATAATTCAAAGGGAAAGGTCACAATTTAGGGAGAGAGAAATCCTTTGCAACCCCTTCCCTCCCCTTTCTCTTCTTGGTGTGTTTTGTTTCTCTTGATGGGAAAGTGGGGGGTTTCTCAGCAGTGCCCCATTGTCTTGGATGCCAGGGTTGGTTCAGGGTGGCATTGGCCCTCTTTGCTCCCCACTCTCCTCAGTAATTTTTTTCTAATGTATGGTTTGAGTGTCTCTTTGTCTTCTGAACGCCAGGACAGCCCTGTCCTCTGCCCAAGGCCTCTCTCACACTGGCCTGTCCACAGCATACTGGCAGGCGCTGAGGTTGGAGGCCGGCGCCTGGACGCTGGCGTAGCCGAAGCTGGAGTGCTGCTTGGCCTTGAGTCTCAGGCTGGCCAAGCTGGAGTTACACGTGTCCCGGTAAACGTAGGGAGGGGTCGGCGGGGCGTAAGGGCAGGCCGGCGTGGGCACCGCCGAGTTGAGCGACGGGTTGCTCAGGTTGTTCAAGTTGTTGAGGCCGTTGAGGCCCGAGCCCGGGACGCCTGCCACAGCCGAGGGCACCATGCTGGAAGACATGCTCATGGAGGAGATGGAGTTGGGCGGAGAGAACATGCTCTGCGAGGAGAGCGGGTTCACGTTCATGGAGTTGAAGAAGGGGAAGCTCTTGGTGGAGAGCGACGCCGACGTCAGGCCCTTGGCCGCCCAGTTGTTGTACGAGTAGCCCGGGTACATGTCGTCGTAAGGCTGCATCAGCCCGTTGAACTGCGGCCCGAAGCCGTTCTTGCACAGCTCCGCCTGCTGGTTCCGCTCCCGCTTCCGCCACTTGGCCCGCCGGTTCTTGAACCAGACCTGCACGAAAGGGAGCGGGATTGGGGGGGGGGGGGGGGGGGAGGGGGGGGGGCTTATCTCCATGAACTAAGGTAATACTGAATGCACAACCAAATGTGCATGGGCATGCATGAACAATGCACATCAACATTGGATGACGCTGCATCAGGCATGTAGCCCAGGGGGAGGGGGGGGGGGGGCTTGAGGGGCTTCAGCCCCCCCCCCCCCCGAAATTCTCATGGTGGTCTGCGAGAAGGCCTTACCGGTGCATTATTTAAACTGTTATGTTTATTCATATCATGATCTGATCACCATACTCAATATATCCCATATGCATGGGGGTATTGGGGTAACGATACAAAAGGTTTGCTAGGGTAGACCCTCTTTCACTCAAACTCACCCCCCCCCCCAAATCCTGGCTATAATAATAATTATTATTATAGCAGAGTGTATTCCAGGCATAGTCTTCTGCTTTGAGTCGCCTGAGGGCTTCTTTTTTTTTGTCGTGTCAGGAGCAAGTCGCTTCTGGTGTGGGAGAATTGGCCGTCTGCAAGGACGTTGCCCAGGGGACGCCTGGATGATTTGATGTTTTTATCATCCTTGTGGGAGGCTTCTCTCATGTCCCCCCATGAGGAGCTGGAGCTGATAGAGGGAGCTCATCCACCTCTCCCTCAGGCCCGTAGCCAGGATTTCATTTCGGGGGGGGGGAATTTTCAGGGGGGGTTGGGGGGGCTGAGTTTCGGGGGGGGGGGACTGAGTCTGAGTGAAAGAGGGTCTAGCCTAGCAAACCTTTTGTATCATTACCCCAATACCCCCATGCATATGGGATATATTGAGTATGGTGATCAGATCATGATATGAATAAACATAACAGTTTAAATAATGCACCAGTAAGGCCTTTTCGCGAACCACCATGAGAATGGGGGGGGGGGGGGCTGAAGCCCCTCAGGCCCCCCCCCACCTGGCTACATAACTCAAGGTGAATTGCCACCAAACCCTTCCAGTATTTTCTGTTAGTCATGGGAGTTCTGTGTGCCTAATTTGGTTCAATTCCACCATTGGTGGAGTTCAGAATGCTCTTTGATTGTAGGTGAACTATACATCCCAGCAACTACAACTCCCAAATGACAAAACCAATCCCTCCTCAACTCCACTACTATTCCAAATGCTTACTTTGCATAATGGGTTAAGCCGCCCTTGCATCCACCTCTCCTCGGATTCAAACCTGCGACCCATGGGTCTCTGTCCTGCCCCCGCACAGAGGTTTAACCCACTGCGCCACCCCATGCTAAAAATTAAGAGTCCCTCCAGAACTGCAAGCACTGTCTCAAGCAAATATTGGCATTTTGTTTACACTGTCATTACTTGCAGCAATAGCAGATGTAGTGAAGCAACCGAGTTGGGGGTGGGTGGGTGTTGAATGCGCTCATTAAGGAGGCCAGACTTGGTGGAGGTGGTTGACAGGGGCGGAGCTGCAGGCTATTGAAGGCTGCTCTGCCCCCTGCTGTGCTCTTTGCTTCAGCGTGAGCTAGGAGGCAGGTTTCAACACCCCCCTGCAAAATTTTCAACCCCCCCCGAAATTTTCAACCCCTCCTGAATTTTTTCTAGCTACGGCCCTGCCCCCTGCCAGGACCAATGGGCTGCTGTGAGTTTTCCAGGCTGTATGACCAGGTTCCAGAAGCATTCTCTCCTGACAAATGCAAGATACTCCACTTAGGCAGAAAAAAATTAAATGCAAAGATACAGAATGGGCTCAGGCTCGACAGCAGTAGGTGTGAAAAAGATCTTGGGGTCCTCGTGGACAACAAGGTAAACATGAGCCAACATATAAATCCCTATAAGGTTCCGGCCCAGTTTACCTGTCCGAAAGTATTCTCCCCTATGAACCATCAAGGGCATTAAGATCTTCTGGAGAGGCCCTGCTCTCGCAAGTGTGTTTGGTGGGAATGAGAGACAGGGACTTCTCTGTGGTGGCCCCTCTGCAGGGCCCGTAGCTGTAGGCTATTGAAGGCTGCTCTGCCCCCTGCTGTGCTCTTTGCTTCAGCGTGAGCTAGGAGGCAGGTTTCAATCCCCTCCCCCAAAATTTTCAAGCCCCACCCCCAAAAATTTCAACCCCTTCTGAATTTTTTTTCTGGCTACAGGTTTGTAGATATATAAACCCAATTTTCCAGTTTCCAACAAACCTCACAACCTCTGAGGATGCTTGCCACAGATGCAGGCGAAACGTCAGGAGAGAATGCTTCTAGTACATGGCCATACAACCCGAAAAACCTACAACAACCCGTTGTGAGGTCTGCTGGAAACTAGGCAAGTGGGGTTTATATGTCTGTGGAATGTCCAGGGTGGGAGATCTCTTGTATGAATTGTGGAAGGCTTTCATGGCCGGAAGCACTGGATTATTGTAAGTTTTTCGGGCTGTATGGCCATATTCCAGAAGCATTCTCTCCTGACGTTTTGCCTGCATTTATGGCAGGCGTCCTCAGAGGTTGTGAGGTCACATGGCCATGTTCCAGAAGCATTCTCTCCTGACATTTCGCCTGCATCTATGGCAGGCATCCTCAGAGGTTGTGAGGTCACACAACCTGACAATCTCTGAGGATGTCTGCCATAGATGAAGGTGAAACGTCAGGAGAGAATGCTTCTGGAACATGGCCATGCAGTCCAAAAAACCTATGACAACCTAGAACTCTTGCATGTTTGAGGCAAGTGTGAACGTTGCAATTGCTCAGCTTGATTAGCAGAAATATGCTTTAGACTTCAATGCAGGAACAGTATGATTAGAGACTAGATAGAGATTTATTAGATTTTCAGAACACAGGGATGCTTTGGACTATGGATTATTGTTTCTAAGAAGATGCCCTACACAGATAACTACTTAAAATCCTGTTGTAACTGGTCAATAAACGAAGTTCCTTCATGCTGTATACATGAAGTTTTATGAGTAAACCAACTTTTACTTTGAAAAAAGACTGTTTATTTTATCTCTTGAAAGCATGATTTAAAGGTGAATATATTTTAAGGGAGAGTATTGCAGATGTTTTGGGGCAACTAAAGGAATCTGTGTTGTTGAAGGCTTTCATGGCCAGAATCACCGGGTTGCCGTGAGTTTTCCGGGCTGTATGGCCGTGTTCCAGAAGCATTCTCTCCTGACGTTTCACCCATATCTATGGCAGACAGGTTGAGAGGTCTGTTGTGAAACTAAACAAGTGAGATGTATATAATCTGTGGAATGTCCAGGATGGGGGGGGGGGGGAAGAACTCTTGGCTGCTAGAAGTATATGTGAATGTTGCAATTTGCCACCTTGATTAGCATTTAATGGCCTGCAGTTCAAGGCTTGGTTGCTTCCTGACTGGAGGAATCCTTTGTTAGGAGGTGTTAGCTGGCCCTGGTTGTTTCTTGTCTGAAATCCCTCTGCTTTTTGAGTCTTGCTATTTATTTACTGTTCTGATTTGAGAGTTTTTAAATACTGGTAGATAAATTTTGTTCATTTTCATGGTTTCCTCCTTTCTGTTGAAATTGTCCACATGCTTGTGGATTTCAATGGCTCTCTGTGTAGCCTGACATGGTAGTTGTTAGAGTGGTTCAACATTTCTGTGTTCTCAAATAATATGCTGTGTCCAGGTTGGTTCATCAAGTGCTCTGCTATGGCTGACTTCTCTGATTGAAGTAGTCTGCAGTGCCTTTCATGTCCCACTCTAACAACTTCCATATCAGACTACATAGAGAAGCCATTGAAATCCACAAGCATGTGGACAATTTCAACAAAAAGGAAGAAACCATGAAAATGAATGAAATCTGGCTACCAGTATTTAAAAAAAACCCTCTGAAGTCAGAACAGTAAAGAAAGAACAACACTCTAAAAACTGAGGGATTCCAGACAGGAAAGAATCAGGACCAGCTAACACCTCCCAACAAAGGAGTCCCCAGGCAGTAAGCAGCCAGACCTTGAAGATGAAAGGCTATTCAGTGCTAATCAAGATGGTCAATTGCAACAAACAGACAAAAGTTCTTTGCCCCGCCCTGGACATTCCACAGATATATAAACCCCAATTGTCTAGTTTCCAACAGACCTCACAACCTCTGAGGATGCCTGCCATAGATGCAGGTGAAACATCAGGAAATAATGCTTCTGAAATATGGCCATACAGCCTAGAAAACTCACAGCAACCCAATAATAACAACTCTGCGTGCATTTCTTTTTTCTCTCTCTCTCTCTCTTTCCCCTCCCCAGTCTAATTGCTAGAGAACAAAGAGAAGATAGCAGTTCACTATCTAACACGGTTTTTGTTCCTGGGTTATCAATCTCATTTCCTAATCGGTTCCATCATTAAAAAAACATGGGGAAAGTTTATTAAATTGCAAAAACTTTGTTTTTGCGGTACATCCGGCAGTACATTTTGCTATCGTTTTTCAATGAATATCTCCCTCTAATCTCAACCCATTCAACATAGTTTGTGGAAGCCACAAAAAGGAGGTTTCTGGAGTGTAACAACTACTTTCAAAGTATGTACCTCACAATTAAACAAGAAATAACACTTTCAAAGGAGGGATAGATTTTTTTTTTCCAAATTTTGTTACATAGTGAGTGCGATAGATACTAGTGTGTGGTGCTGCTCAAGTGTTGGTACTGTTAGAACTTTTATAATTTGCACGATCGGGTTCTTAAGTTGTAGCAATGGCCACTCCAATGGATACATTTCTAATTAAGGAAGGAAAATCTGTTGACAGTGATGTCTGTGATGACTCCCATGGAGCGGCTATAGAGGAAACTATACAAGAATCAACTATGGGATTTAAGAAGCGTAAAAGGAAAGTGAGGAAAACTTCCTAACTGTGAGAGGTGTTCAGCAGTGGAACTCCCTGCCCTGGAGTGTGGTGGGGGCTCCTTTTTTGGAGTCCTTTAAGCAAAGGCTGGATGGCCATCTGTCGGGGTGCTTTGAATGCGATTTCCTGCTTCTTGGCAGGGGGTTGGACTGGATGGCCCACGAGTTCTCTTACAACTCTTACAACTCTTTCCAAA